CTCCCCTGGTGGTGCAGTGGTTGAGTGCTGGGCTGCGAAGCTGCCTGCAGCCTCCGCAGCGACAGTTCGATCCCCGGCCACTGGCGAGGGCCCCACATGGCACGCAGACCTATCCTGCCACCCGCTGCTCTCCTCGGCAGTGTACTTTGTCAGTCTGCCTGTTCTGCTTTCCGCTCTGTCTCTGGTGAATTCTCTTGCCCTCCTGCGCTTCTGACTGTACCCAGTGCATGTATAAATAAATAAATATATCTTAAAAAGGAAAGAAAGAAAGAAAGAAAGACCTGGAATTCAGTTTTGGACATTTCTGAATTTGAGGAGCCTGCTGGATATCAAAGTAAAGACAAATCCTCACTGTAATTCCCTGTAGTAGTTGCTACCATTGTCCCCTTTGTGCAAAGTGTCAGTACAATAACATTAACTGCTCTTTATTCAGTCAGGAAGTAACAGAAGCAGGATTCAAACCCAAGCAGTCTGATACCACAGCTCCTGATTATAAACATTAAAAAATTAGAAATGAATGTGGTCATGTTGAATTATATAGAATTATAACATGGAAAAATCCTATACCCATCAGACCTAGGGTGTATGGAACTTAGATTAAAATGACTCTTCTTAAAGGAACATTTATACAATTTAAGTGATTTGTGCTTTCTGTGTCTATATCTATGTCTACCTCTCTCTTCACCTTTATTTTAGAGTACTTCTCCACACCTGTCAAACAGAGTAGGAAGGAGTTTTCCATGCTGCATAATTCTAAATGACTGTGGCCCCAGTTTCTATTTTGATCATTGTAACATTTCTTTCACTGTTGGTATTCACTCCTCTTTAGCCTCAAGATATCCAGTATTTTATCTTCAATAAATCTCCTGCTATCCCTGATAACATCCTGGCTTTCCAGAGTCTATCACTAATGGCATTATTCAGGGTTAGTATATCCTTATAGTTCCGTTTTGCCCAATTCACTTATAGTCATTTATCTTACTACATGACAGCCATTTTGGTGTCCTTTTTTCAACTAATCTCACCCAGCCTAGATAATTTGTGTTGCCTGGTAGATATATAACTCTGCAAAACAAACGATCATAATTTAAATATATGTCTTCTGCATTAAATAGTATAGTATTAGTGTAGACCACTCTATATAATTTTTATTATGATACATATCACAAAGAGTACCTTGTACATGTCTCCAAATGTACCTTAGGAAGATTTTAACTGACATAGATAGCAAAGAGTGAAACTTGATTTTGTGCACGTATTCTTTGGAAGACTGTGAAGATGTATAAACCCTTATAATCACTATGTCTTTATTTTTATTGAAGTTATTTTATGGAAGCAATTGACAAGGTCACATTGCTGTCTTTTTTTTTTTTTTAAGTTTTATTTATTTATACAAGCACTGGGTATAGTCAGAAGCACAGGAGGGTGAGAGAATTCACCAGAGCCAGAGCGGGGAGCAGAGCAGGCAGAGGGACTGAGGTACACTGCTGAGGGGAGCAGCGGGGAGCAGCGGGGAGCAGCGGGCGGCAGGAGAGGTCTGCGCGCCATGTGGGACCCTCCTCCGGTAGCCAGGGAGCAGCCGGGGATTGAACCTGCACTGCAGAGGCTGCAGGCAGCTTAGCAACCCAGCGCTCAACCGCTGCGCCACCGGGGAGGCCCATATTGAAGTTATTTTAAAGAAAGTACTATTGTTTTACACCCTTGTTAGTATTTTGCCAATATGGGATTTCCCCTTTTAGGTGTGGTCAACCATATCTCTCCCACCACCAGAGCTTCCAGAGCATCCATAATGTCCACCATGGTCCATTGTGCTCTCTCCTCCCCCATATCACCTCTGGATGTCTCATTCTATGTTCATCTTTCAAGAGCTGGTTTTAATGTTTGTCTTTGGCTCTTTGGTTTCTCTCTTTTTCTTTAAATGGGTATATGTTATTGCAGTATATTGATGATTTTTTTTTTTTTTTTTTTTTTTGCGTAGAAGAACTGGAATGTAAACCAGAGGTACGGGGTGGGAGGGTGGTGGTGAGAGGATTCACCAGAGACTGGGGGGGGGGGCAGAACAGGTGGATTTACTGAACTACACTGCCAAGGGGAGCAGCAGGCGAGACAGGAGAGGTCTGCTGCACCATAAATGGGTTAGCTCCCTGGCTGGGGATCAGGCCGTAGGCATGATAGTGCTGAGATTTAACCTCTAAGCCAGCAGCTAGGCCCCTTTTGGTTTCTCTATATTCCGCATATAAGTAACACCATCTGGTAATTTTCTTTCTTCTTCTGGCTTATTTTGCTTAGCATAATCCCTTCTAGTTCCATTCATTGTTGCTGCAAATGACATGAGTTTATATATATATTTTTTTAAAGATTTATTTTTATTTATTTATACAAGCACTGGGTACAGTCAGAAGCGCGGGAGGGTGAGAGAATTCACCAGAGCCAGAGCGGGGAGCAGAGCAGGCAGAAGGACCAAAGTGCGCTGCTGAGGGGAGCAGTGGGCAGCAGGAGAGGTCTGCGTGCCATGTGGGACCCTCCTCCAGTGGCCGGGGAGCTGTCGGGGATTGAACCGGCGCTGCAGAGGCTGCGGGCAGCTTCGCAACCCAGCGCTCAACCGCTGTGCCACCAGGGAGGCCCGAGTTTATATTTTTTGATCACTGAATAGTATCCTACTGTGTATATCACATCTTCTTGATCCATTCATCTGTTTTGGGGAAATTAGATTGTTTCCATATCTTGGCTATTGTAAATAGTGCTGCAATAAACATAAGCGTGCAGATATCCTATCAAATTAGTGTTTTTGTGTTCTTTAGGTAAATAGATTACTAAGAGTGAAATCACTAGGTCATATGGTAGATTCAGTTTTAGTCTTGTGAATGTCCTCCACATTTCTTTCCACAGGGGCTAGACCACTCTACATTCCTACCAATTAAGTAAGAGGGTTCCTTTTTCTCTACACTCTCACTGGCACCTGTTTCTGGCCTTTTCAGTATGTACCATTCTCACTGTGTGATGTGGTATCTCATTGTAGTTTTGACTTGCATTTTTCTGTACTATTCTATTCTAATTATCTAAACAATTGTAGAGTTAAAAAATTAATTTTTAAGGAATTATGGTTTGGGCTACATTTTCCACTAGCTCATAGGAAATGTTTTATATGTTAGTATGACATCCCTGGATATATATATTTGTAAATGAATGGTTGACATATCATTAACAATTCAGCAATTCAACAATTCAGCACTCCCCTAATCAATACAAGTGTAGTGCATACTCAATAACATAATCTATTTGTTACTTGGCAGTTGGTCCCATCAGAATGTGTACAATATTATTAAAAACTAATTTTTCCTCTTTATATTGAATACAATATATTGAGTACAATATTATAAAAAGCTAATTTTTCCCCTTTTGTATTGAGTACACTGTGTTACTCCATGATTAAAGTGTTAAATTTTGAACTCATTATATTTCCTACTTAGAAATAATGATACATGTGGCTGGAAGCATTTAGTGAAACAATATAATTTGTTGAGGGAATTTAATCTTAGACTGCATTGAAACAGTATATGATTTGGCGTTAAGAAACTTGATTAAGGGCCTCCCTGGTGGTGCAGCAGCTTGAGCGCCACTCTGTGAAGCTGTCCACAGCCTCTGCAAGGCAGGTTCAATTTCTGGCTGGCCAGGGAGATACCCACATGGTGCGGCAGTCCTCTCCTGTCTCACCCACTGCTCCCCTCAGCAGTGTATTTTGGTCCGTTTGCCTATTCTGTTTCCCATTCTGTCTCTGGCGAATCCTCTCACCCTCCTGTGCCTCTGGCCTGTACCCCAGTTCTTGTATAAAAATAAATAAATCTTCAAAAAAAAAAAAGAAACTCGATTAATTATTAAAAATGTGGAGGGTGTAGAAATTAAGTTGTTTTAGTAAAAACAAATGATTCTGGGATTTTTTACTTCTCTAAACTTTAGTGAGCATTTTTAAAAAAAGATTTATTTATTCGTGCATACAAGATCTGGGGTACAGGCCAGATGAGAGGATTCACCAGAGACAGATCGGGGAACAGAAGAGACAGTCTGACTGAAATACACTGCTGAGGGGAGCAGCAGGCGAGACAGGAGAGGTCCGCCGTGCTATGTGGGTATCTCGCCAGCCTGGCCGGGATCTAACCTGCACCACAGAGGCTGCAGACAGCTTCACAGAGCTGCGCTCAACTGCCTGTGCCACCAGGGGAGGCCCTTTAGTAAGCATTTTAATGTATTATGAGTTTTCTCTAAAAAACAGGAGTGCTAGCCTCCCTCTTTTGTGAACATCTGCTTCTCAGAAGCCCCCTCCCTGAGTCTTCCCTTATTCTTCACTGTCTTTGTTTATTATCCCAAAGGTAATGTACTGCTGCCATTCATTTCCAAAACCAGCGTGTTCTTTTGTGTTTGACTCCTATTAGTTCTCGGGTATGCTGCATATTAATGTTCATAAATGCATAATTTTTCTTTCTCCTTCTGTATCTTTTATTGCCTAAATAATTTGCTTGTATTATTTAGAGCCCTGCAATATAGACTTAGTGCTTTTGCTAATCACTGGATCTAGGAGAGCACAGAACCACATCTAAGGTATAAGGTGGATATACTACTGGGATGATCTTGCAGTGTGCAGGTGTTGGATTTTGGGGTGTCTGTAGGATTGAAGTTCCAGTGGAGATGGGTCCCTGAAGGTTACTTTTTCCACAGTTTTGTTGAAGAGCCCAATTTTTTTCTGCTCTTATCTTACTAAGCAGTTTGTTTTATCACTACTGCTGAATTATAGTTAAATATCAGGAATATTATTTTCAATATTTCATCAAGATTTATTTCTTAAAACTCATAAATTTCAGGTGACAAGAAGAAGAAAAGTTCTCAAATTTTGTTATAGATAATAATTTATTATTAGGATATGTTAGTTTAAGCCAGGGAGACTAAAGCCAAATGATACTATTTAGATCTTTTACTAAACAATATCATTGTCTATTTTCTGTCAGGCTTCCTTAAGATCAGATTGCTGCAATGCATTCTAGCTGGAACAACCTTTGAAAATACAACTCAGAAAATGAGTAAGGCCTGATCTTTTTCGTAGGATAAGGCATAAAGAGAACATTGTTTCTGTCTGTCAGTTTTACAGATTACACCTAGATACAACTCAAGGTTTTGGGTTAATGTATTCTGCTTTCTTTGCTTATCCTTTTCCCAATGCTACCTCATGAAACTTATTCAGCTGAGATTGGAATGAGTGAGACTTTTGCTGACAGTGTCTAGCTCTGCCATTTTTGCTGATGCATTAGGTACACCAGTACATGGAGTGCATAATTATCTTTACCATATATGTTATACCCAGGTAGAAGATGTAAGCACTATATTTGTGCCATTTTCTGGAACTACTCCCTACTGGATTAGGGGTGAATTAGGGGTGGAGGTTTGGGGTCCATGAAGAATCAGAATCTTTCCCTAGCCAACTTGAGACTTGACTGGTTGTCACGGGGTTATAATTCCAATTGTTTAAACTCTGGAATTACAGTTATTTGTAAGCTTTAATGTCTTCAGCCTTTTTTTTTTTAAAGATTTATCTTTATGCATACAATAACCAGGGTACAGGCCAGAGGTGCAGGGCATGAGAGGATTCACCAGAGACAGAGTGGGGAGCAGAACAGGTAGATCTACTGAAATACACTGCTGAGGGGAGCAGTGGGTGAGGCAAGAGAGATTAGTTGTGCCACTTGGGTCAGTTCCCTGGATGGGGATTGAACTCAAGTCTCAGTGGCTGGCTATAGCTTGATAGTGCTGTGCCTTTAACCCCTGTAGCACCATGGAGGTACTGTCCTCCATCTCTTGATGACAAAGGAGACTAAATCAGAAGACAGAAGCAAAAGATCAATAGGAATAGGCATATTCTAGTAATAGTCAACCATAACACTGAGTGAAGGTCTGGCACATCCAAAGAAATTAGAAGAGACTTTGTTTATAATAGGAGTCTAGGGCCAAAATTCAATTTTCAAGGTGTCCCACCTCTAGATAAGCCCTTCTTTATGTTTTTAGTTCCCTGGTGACCTTGGAGCTCTGCTCAAGGTGGTTGCTGTAACTCATCTGTAAACACAAGCCTCAGAGAGAAAGTTAGATAAGTTTTTTCTACTTTGGTACTCTTTAGGTTCTGAGAGCAATTTAGCTATTTAGCCTTGGTTATACTCAGACTTACTTTTACTTTCTCATGGATAGCACTCTCTTTCTTGGATCTTATGTTTTCTTTCTGACTTAAGCCCTCAAGTTAACTTCCTAAGGAAAATGTTTAGGGCTCCTTGACTTGATTGTTGTGTGAGTGTTGGAGGCTTCCACACATCAACAAGAACCAGGAGGTATCTGAGAATTTAACTCAATTTTGATGCTATCTATGTGAATAGTATCTACCTAGATAGATCTCACAGGTTAAGTGCTTGGTTGGCCACTTCCACTTTGGATGCTGGTCCTCTTCAGATGCTGGTCATCATTATCTGCTTCAGATTTATTGGTTACAGATCAGCATTACCCACTCCTCAGTTTTGATTAACTGCTAGAGGGGCTCCTAGAATGCAGTCATGTTTACTCACTAGAGGACTGGTTTATTATAAGCAAACAGCCAGATGGAAGAAATGCATCAGACAAGGTACAGAGAAAGGGTGCAGAGCTCCTGTGTCCTCTTCTAGTGCACCATTCTCTCCAAATCTCCACATGTTCACCCGCCCAGAAGCTCTCCAAAGCCCATCCTCACTTGTGTGTACTCTTATTTTCTCTGAAACTTATTAATGATCACTGAGCATTCTGGATTTATCCTCTTTGTTTCTTGGTTCTATATTTTTCTGTTTCTTTGTCCTGTTGCTCTTTGTGCTGGGAGATTTCCCTGGTTTCTCTTCTAGTAACTCTCTCGAATTATATCTTTTATTTAAGAGCACTTTCTTATTTAGTGGTATTTGTTTATCATATCTACTTCACATTTACGGATTCCGCATTTTCTAGAATCTCTCTAAGCATAATATTTTAAGACTTTTAAAGTTATCTTAAATACCCTGGATTATCATTGTTTCCTGCAAGTTCATCTATATATTTTTCTGGTTTTACTCAAATGTCTGATGATTTTAATGAGTTATTCATTTGGAAGAATGAAACTGACTGGAGTCAGTGACTGTTCTTAACAGTGATTGGTAAAAATATTAGAATTTTCTTAAATGATAGGGAAATAGTCATATTCATTTTGGGAAATAGTTTAAATTTGTTCATGATTTCTAGAGCCATAAACAAGAAGTGACCCAGATCAAGTTAGTCTTAAAAAATAAACTAAATTAAACTTTGTTTATATGATTAAACTGAATTTTTTCTGCTCATGGCATTTTCAAGTTTATTGTTCATTCAATTTTGGGTTTTACATACCTTACCTCCGTTGTCCCTCTGTTGGTAAAACTCTGAGGTACATGGTCTACTATGGCTCCAAAGTTGCAGAATTAAGCTCCAGGTGCCAATAATATCTTGTTTGATAATGAAACTTTATTGGTTCTCTATGCTATAACTCACTTTTCCTCTCCTCTACTCATGTTTCCTGGTATCACCACTTACATAAATTGTTTATGTTCAAAGCTTTATCTAGAGTCTGAGGAATCCAAATGCAGATATTATGGGTTATTTTTTTTTCTTCATTATAATTTTAATGAAAGCTCAGGTAGAAAAACAGGTATTTTTGAGGTCTTAATATATTCAATCTGTGCCAGTTAAACAATATTGTAATGAGTATTATGGGTCAGGCATTATTCAAGGGGCATAGTATAATGAGTTCTACCTTCAAAGAACTTGTATTCTACAGAGCAGATAATCCATACAGCAGAATGTTTTAGGTGTACTTAAAAGAAGTTGAGGTTTATGTATCATGGGACTTAGCAAACATGAGAAATTCTTTACAGATGGGTGATCAGGGATGACATCAGGAAGAGGTAGCATTTGAGTTGGATAGATGGCAAATGAATTTGAAAACAAAATGCTGGGTTGGACATGCCTATGAACTCAGTCTTCAAGAGGCATGTGTATAAAACAAATACGAATATTATACAAAACACAGATATCTATGTAATTTTAAATTGCAAGATGTTCATAGGAATATTTTTTTAAACATTTATTTATTTATTTATACAAGCACTGGGAATAGTCAAAAGCGCGGGAGGGTGAGAGAATTCACCAGAGCCAGAGTGGGGAACAGAACAGGCCTACTAACGAAACACACTGCTAAGGGGAGCAGCGGGTGAGACAGGAGAGGTCTGTCGCACCATGTGGGACCCTCGCCGGCCCGCTGGGGATCCAACCGGCGCTGCAGAGGCTGCGGGCAGCTTTGCAGCCCAGCGCTCAACTGCTGCGCCACCAGGGGAGGACCTGTTCATAAGAATATTGATGGAAATTGGCGATAAGTAGTTTATATAGTTTGGAGACTGGATTTGCTGTGGGAAACAAATGGGAATCATTATAGTCCTCTGTGAAGGGAAATGAAAAACATCTGTAAGGAGAAAAGTTGTGATTTAGGGTATTTTTTAAAAAAGATTTATGCATACAAAAGCTGGGGTACAGGCCAGACATGTCGGGGGTGAGAGGATTCACCAAAGACAGAGTGGAGAACAGAACAGGCAGATGGACTGAAATACACTGCTGTGGGGAGCAGTGGGCGAGTCAGGAGAGATCTGCTGTGCCATGTGGGTTGCTCCCTGGCCGGCCCGGGGACTGAACTCCTGCTGCAGTGGTTGTGGACAGCTTCATAGGTTGTGTCTTAACCCCTTGCGCCACCAGGGAAGCCCCTGGTTTAGGGTATAAAATTCTTGTGAGGAATGGATTGATGGAGGGGAGGAAGTGGCTGTTACAGGTGGGTGTATCATTGTGGGATAGATACCATGGGACTGGCCATCTACTGGCCAGTTTGAGAAATGTTCTGAACAAAACTAAATTACCAAAGGGGGAATAGCAGATAGAAGTAATGGAAAATGGGAAAGCAGGAAAAACTTGAAGGAAGAGGACTAACTCATTGGAGTCTCTCCAAGTGAGAAATACCTGCACTCAGTTCTGCCTGGAATTGAGAAGCCAAGCTGGGTAGCTTACTGACAAGAGCTCTATTTCATTTATTTGTCCTGTCAATATTCCTGCCTATTTGTCTCTTTAACAGTTGATGGGGAATGACACGAACCTATTGAAGGTTTAGCTTTGGCTTTACTTGAAAAGATCCTAAGATGTTTCAATGGGAACCTATTAAAGAATTAGAAAGTACTGTATTCTGCATTGATAATAAAGTCTTGAGCCTACGTGAATGACTCTTAGAGATTTCATATTGTCCATTGGAATTTCTATTTAAATTGATTTATTGCTGTGGTCAGACCAGTTATTTTCTGATTTGCATATGAAGGCTTTCTATACAGAGAAAAAGTGCAAACCAGAATCTACTGTTTTCCTACAATGTCAATTTCTTAGGCACCAATCTATAAATTAGTGTTATTAGTGAGGAAAAGACACCCTGTGTCTAGCTACGTGTATTTAACTGTGCTGAGAAAACTGTGCTCATTACGATAGCTATAGGGTAGCTCTAGCTACACATTAATAAGTTATGAGCTACTATTTCAGAGAAATTGCTCTGCCAATAATAAATAGCCTATGTTCTATTTTTCTTCTCCCTTGGATATCTGTATGGAATGAAATTAATTCAGAAAACAACTATCTTAGAGAAGCGGGAAAACTTAAATCATCACATTATCGGCCTTTCTCCCCTTTCCCAACCTTTTTAAACAGCACTTAGAATTATTCTAGCTTTTTTTTTTTGTGGGATCCTCACCAGCTGCGGGGAACAAACCAGCGCTCAACCGCTGCGCCACCAGGGGAGACCCTATTCTAGCATTTTAATTCCTCTTTCAGACCCTAACTCTTAAACATTTATTTTATTTCACACATCCTTTTGAGGTCACCTCCTGCTGTCTTTTCTGTTAACAATGACTAAGGTGGTTTCATACTCTTCCAGATTTCCTCCATTTTTACCTATTAGTAATTTTACTCTAAAGAGCTTTTTCTT